GTAACTGCAGCGTTCCTTTGTGCTATTGGATGATATGACAAAAAAAAACCCAGCGAGATCTGTCATTTGCTTGTCAGCAGCTGACTGATTACTAACTAAGCCCACCCTTCTGGCCTGTCTAAACATCATACAAGCCTCCAGCTCATCAGTTGTCTAACCTGGACATTTGATACTCCCCAGCGCTGTTGTGTGTGTGTCTCCACCATCTGGAGTGTTATCAGCATATTGAAAGTGACAGCAGGAATGTTGTTCAAAATGTTATCTGATGCCGCTGCATTCGCTGAAGGGATTGCGCCGCACACACACGCGGCTTTGATCTTGCTTATACCGCTGCTCCATGCATACAGCCGGCGTGACCCTCCTCGCTGCTGAAACTGTGGCTTCTATCTGCTGGCCATGTTTTGTTGTCAGTGCTACTCATACATATGGACTGATCAGCGTAGATTTTTGCAAGTGCTAGCGTGCCAATCCTGGGAGGTCTGCCAGCCGGCATACAGCATGCATGCTTTCACTGCGAGGGACAAAACGGAAATGACAAGGCAATCGCCATTCTGTCAGCATTGCCATGGTAGCACAGGCACGGCTGTTTATCCCAAGGTTAATGGGATGACGCCTGGAATTGAAAGTGCCAGATTGAGAGAAACATGTTCTTGTTTTACTTAAAACAAGTAGATAGCAGAGAGTGGTGTCACATCATAGCGAGGTAAGCCTGGAACGGGTCGGATTAACGGAATGAATGAGGGAGAATGTGGCAAGCGTCGGCCGTTCTACTCCTAGCATAGATAATAAATAACTTAATGAAGGAATGATTGAATTTCTGCGAAATCCCGACGTGGATGTGGTGTTTCATCATCACACTTGTGTTGCCATTGATAAAACCGGATTAAAGGGTGTGAGAACGCTGGAAATATCAGGTAATTTATTTTCCATCCGGCAGATACATAGTTTGGCAATTCATTACCTGGAACTCGGAAAACGCGCCACAATGTAGGAGTCTGACGGGTCTATAGGAGCTATGATGATTGTGTTTAGGCTTTTTAAGATGTCTGGGCTGCACGGTGGTATAGCAGGTTGGTGGTTCGATCCCCGGCCCCTCCACAGTCCAAGTGTCCTTGGGCAAGACAAGAACCCAAAGTTGCTCCCAGTGGCAGGCAGCACCTAGCATGGCAGCTCTGTCGCCATTGGTGTGTGAATGTTTGAATGAGAAACGCATTGTGTATAAGTGCAGACCAGTGGTTAGCATCGTCGCCTCGTAGCTAGCAGGGCGCCGGCTTGCGTCCCGGTGAGGACACCCGGGATCTTTCTGTGTGGAGTCTCCATGTTCTCCTTGGGTTCTCTCCGGGTTCTTCCTCCCACACAGTCCGAAAACATGTTAATTAGTGATTCTAAATTGTGTGAATATGAGGCCTTCACCCTGAGTCAGCTGGGATAGACTCCAGCCCAACCCTAGTGAAGAACAAGCAGTGTATAGATGATGGATGGATGGAAGATTTGAGCATCAAACCTGCAGGAATCCGTGTGGTTTTGAAATGGCGAGGCTCTTCCAGGATGCATTGTGCCGACAGCTGTATTTGTTGTTCTCTCTCGTTTGCTGCCCGAGGTAACGACGTGTGCTCGTTTCACACAGAATGCATATAAAAGCGCTACGCATTGTGTGAATCCTTTAAGGACACAAATCAACCACTTGCCGCCCATTTTGCAATCAGAAGTCGTTGCTTCCTGTCGTACACGGCGGACCAGAAGAAATCAGCGTGTTGTGTTTGTTTAGACGCGTCCCTCCTACCATTTTTCCATGAGTGCATAAATATACTGTGCATCTGATTCCCTTTGTGCAGCACGCTTATTACAAAACTGGCTAATTTACAGTAGTTATACCAGCAACCGTGTGCCATCCAGTACAAATAAATCTTATCTGTAGGTTCAAACTAATTTAACAACAATCTTGTCTTTAATATGACTACAGTGCTGCTTGATTACCAGAGAGTTTACTGGTTTTATATTCTTTTTCAAATCAGGCTGAGCTGCTGTGTACAGTCTGCTACCACTGGACTTCAATTTTTCAGAATATATAATATATAAATATGTTTTTTTCTCCAACCAACAACTGGTCCAAAGATGCAAACACCTATATTTGTAATCACGACTGCGGTTGCCGACTGTTCTGGCCCGATAATCAGCCCGAGCTGCCATTTTATTTCTCTTCATTCATTTTTTTGTTTTGAATCTCTGAACGAATTGCCGATTCGAGTGGTGATTCAGAGACGTCGAACCCGGCTGGGTTGCTGCTCTGGGCAATGGCGGCCGGTGGATTCTGCTAATGATTAGATATTCCGAGAAGCTTTGACATCATTTGCAGCTCACTCATTTCACCTGATGGCAAAGATTTCCACCAGAGCACACGTGTCACGCTGCCCTCCCGGAGCCCAAACTGTGGCGTTTCACTAAATCAATCCGCAGCATTTCAGAACAAGTATTTATTTTTAATTTCTTCACCCGAGCCGTATAGAGAGCCAAGGTTGCAGTGGGGAAGGCTTAACCACTAGGCTTATAGTCATTCTGATGGATGGCAATGAGACAGATTAATCGACTGCTGTGCAACCCTCACTTATCTGATTTTAGCGCTGCTCCTCCCTTTCTGTTCTTGAAAGGCAGAATTATCTCTCTCGCAGTAAATGGGATGTAATGTGTGTTTGAATGGAAAATTAGCAAAAGATTATACTTTTTTTTTTTTTTTTACGCTTTGTTACACTTTGAATAAAAGTGGCCTGTGAAACATTGGAGTGGGTTCAGTACACTTTGCCCGCTCACGTGTTTCTAATGTGATAAAATGACAAATTTGTCCGTCTGATGGTATTTATATCTCCGCTCTACGCCTGCGTATGCTAATCAGCCATATATTTAGGCCTGTTTATTTCCTTTGTTCTTCTGAAACATGTCAAGTTGTTTTGAAACCCCTATATCTCCGAAGTGGTTTTTATAGCCCGCCGTAATGCCTCCGGAGGAAGAACGGAATAGTTTTCAGTCTTTTTAATAGTTAGCAGTCCACGTAGCGCACTTTGTCAGAAACGGTCAAGGCTCAAAGCAGCGTTGTGCTGTAGACAGCTGAGCCAAAGAGAATATACGTCTTCTGCAAATGGGACAGAAGTCATAACCAATTTCACAACCGCCTCAAGTGTTATCATCAGTACTTCCTGGTGTAGGTGTGCAGGGAACCCAACGCGGGTTCAGGCTGGGGTCCAGTGTTTGCTGTAAGTCTGTTCACACACATAAAC